CTACCCTTGTGTCCTCTGGGAGTCATCCACCAAGAGCCCTTGTCCTCCCTTAGAAAGCTTAGAATCAGATTGTCAAGTTAAACCAGTAAATACCCCTTTGAGATCATGAACGGAACTCCACTAACTGTATAGATCAGTTTGGGGAAAACTGGCGGCTATATAAAATTGAATTTTCCAGTTTGTGAATATGGTGTATCGCTTCATTGGATGTTTAAAATAAACTTATACTTTTTCTCACAAAGATGTATTTTTTGTTGCATTTATTTTTTCTTTATTTTTATGTGGTGCTGAGGATCAAACTCAGTGCCTCACAAGTGCTAAGCAAACGCTCTACCACTGAGCCACAACCCCAGTCCTCCCCAACCCTTGTTTATATTTTATCTAGAGACAGTGCCTCACTAAGATGCTGAGGCTGGTTTTGAACTCACAGTCCTGCTGCATCAACCTCTCAAGTCGCTAGGATTATACATACCTTTGTGTGTGTGTGTGTGTGCTGGGAACTGAACCCAGGGCCTTATGCACGCAAGGCAAGCACTCTACCAACTGAGCTATATCCCCAGCCCTGGATTATACCTTTTGTAGTACTTTTTAAAGTTTTTTTGCTGCAATAAAAATCTACATTAATAGTTATTCCAATGTATTTTAGATATTATTCTGTTGTCTCTTAGTCTCCATTGTTGTTGTTAAATAAGTTATCTATTTTTTGGTTATTGTTATTCCTTTGAAGAATTTCTTTCTTTTTTTTTTTTAAAGTACTGGGGATTGAACCCAGGTGTGCTCCACCTCTGAGTCATATCTATGGCCCTTTTAATTTATTTTTTTAAATTAATTATTTATTTATTTAGTTTTCGGCAGACACATCATCTTTGTTTGTATGTGGTGCTGAGGATCGAACCCAGGCCGCACGTATGCCAGGCGAGCGCGCTACCGCTTGAGCCACATCCCCAGCCCCTCTCTGGCCCTTTTTAAAAATTCATTTGAGACAGGGTCTCTAAGTGCTGGCCTTGAATTTGTGATCTTCCTGCCTCAGCCTCCCCAGTGTCTGGGATAACAGATAAGGGTTGTGCCTGGCTCCAATTGCTTTTTACTGGGGATTGAACTCAGGGGCACTGACCACCTAGCCACATCCCCAGCCTTATTTTGTTTTTTATTTAGAGACAGGGTCTCACTGCATTGTGCAGCACCTCACTTTTGTTGAGGCTGGCTTTGAACCTGTGATCTTCCTAACTCAGCCTCCTGAGCCACCACAATTGGCTCCAATTGCTTTTTTTTTTTTTTGTCTTCTGAGGTTTTACTGTGATGTGCCCATGTGTTAATTTTTTCATTTGTCCAAATGAGAGTTGTTAGCCGGGCCTGGTGGAGCATGCTTGTAATCCCAGCAGCTTGGGAGGCTGAGGCAGGATGACTGCAATTTCAAAGCCAGCCTCAGCAACAGTGAGGCGCTAAGCAACTCCGTGAGACCCTGTCTAAATAAAAAAAAATAAAAACAAAATAGGGCTGGGGATGTGGCTCAGTGGTCTAATGACCCTGAGTCCAATCCCCGATACCAAAAAAATAAAAAAAAAAAAAAGAGTTGTTGGGTTTTCTAATTCTATGAATTGGTCATTCATCAGTTCCACAACCTTCTCAGTCATTACATCTTCAGATATTTTCTGTCCCTATTGGAACTCTTATCAGACCTCCCTACTCCATCCTTCTGATTTCTTAATAACTAATATTTTCCTTCCTTTTTTCTGGACATCCTGGAGAATCTCTACAGAACTGTCTTATAGGTAAGTCTGCCTTCAGCTGCTAAATCAGTCTATTGATTTTTTTTGTTGTTTAAGAGACAAGGCCTGATTATGTTGTCCAGGAGATTAAGTGATCTTTCTCTGGCTTCATTTTCTAGAATAGCTGGGACTACAACCTTGCACAACTGCACCTGGCTGTTATTTTTTTTTTTCCATAAAGTGGTTTTAACAATTCATCCACTGAGTTTTACATATGGAATAATTTTTCATTTTTTGAAGTTCTACTTGGTTCTTTTTCATATCACCTTGATCATTTTATATATTCTCTTGCTTTCTGTTCCAAGTTTAGGGTTTTTTTTTTTCTTTTAAGTGCATTGAAAACAAAGACAAAAAGAAAAAAAAAAATAAAACACTTTATATCCCTATACCTTAAGTCTTGGCGGGTTTCTCTGGCTATTGCTTATGCTGGTTCTTGGTCAATTATATCTCATGCCCTTACAATTTCTTTTGACTATAAGTTCCTATTTCTTGGATTTTTTTAAATATTTAGTTGTAGATGGACACAATGCCTTTATTTTTATTTATTTTTATGTGGTGCTGAGGATCGAACCCAGGGCCTCACACATGCTAGGCAATCCCTCTACCACTGAACCACAGCCACAGCCCTATTTTTTGGAATTTTATCAATGGGATTTGTTCTGAGGTTTGGTTAAACATAAATTCCTCCAGAGAAGAAATGTGTTTGTTAGTTGCCAGATGACCAGTCCTACACCACTTTAAATTTTTAGTTAGTATTCTTAGTACAACCCAAGTATTGTCAATCCAGGTTGTAAACTCTTTTTCAGGGGCTAGTTTGGGGTTAAAAAATTCAGGAGTGGGCTGGGAGTGTAACTCAGAGGTAGAGCACTTGCCTAGCATGCTCAAGGCCACAGGTTGCATCCCACTACCAAATTCTCAGAGGAGGTTTTCCTATACCTTCCTACCCAGCTTGGAAACAGGCATTTTCCCTTGCTGATTCTGGCATGAGGAAGGAGAGGGTGGTTTATTTGTAGATTATACTGAGCATGTGAGCTCAAGAGAAACCCCCAAAAAACTGAAACTCGGGAAATGCTGATAAAATACTATAGATAATTTCAGAGAAAGAAAAGAAAATTCATCTTTGAAAAGATACCAAGGTTGTGGGCTGGGTGTGGCTCAGTTACCTAGCATGCATGAGGTCCTGAGTTCAATCCCCAGCACTGGGTGGTGGTGGTGGGGGAAAGCCACAGTCAGGACTAAATGGAGAACAAAGAATTGAGAATTAAGGCAACAAACATTTTGAAAAATTCAGAGAAGTCAACAAAGCTCTCAGAAAACAAAACGATAATCTGAGAATAGAGAAGAAATTCAAGCTCAATATTGTCCTCTCTGGGATGATCATTTATCAGATGCTGGGCTTAACTGTCATTCCAGAGAGAACAGAGAAATCAAGGGGAGGAAATCACCCATGGTACAGCAGTAATACAATTTCCTGGAACAAAAGATGCACATCTGTCTCCGCTCAGTGGCAAAACAAACAACAAGGACAGGATGAGGTATGTCATGACATTCAGAATCTCGGAGGAAAAGACAACTAGGAGGAGAATGGCATGGAAGCTAGAATACAGGAGCACTGCCTGTAGGAAGGTGACCTCCAACCGAGGATTCTGTGATCACATGTGCATTAAAGAAAGAAATGTTTAGACAGGCATTGACTTATAATTTTTAACTCCAGTGACTTTTTAAAGAAGGTGCCCATGGATATATTCCACCAAATGAGGGTGAACTAAGAAAGAAGACATGGACCCCTGGAGTCAGGAATCTAGCCCTGGAGAGGGACAAAGTGAATTCTCCTGGAGAGCAAACAGTCCTCTGGGAAGGAAGAGTACAGAAGAAAGAGGAATCATCAGACTGGCTGGAGAAGAATTAGCAATTGGTATATTAGAAAGCTAAGCAAATTAAAAAGAAAAAAGGGCAACTACTAATCCTATGAAAAATAAAAAAAAGTTTCAAAAAAGGTGATTTATTTATAGCCCCTAATTTTTTTCCCAGTGCTGGGGTATTAGCCCAATTTTTGGCTTTGCAGTGAATAATTTTCACATGGTAATATAAATGGCAATCTTGATAGCGAGTATTGATTTGCCTAAAAACTAGAGATGAAGGAGGGGTGCTGTCTCGAGAGCTAAATACTCATCTGCTACAATGGGGAGTCAACAGGTAGTATCTGAGATTGATAAATCAATCAAGAATAGTATAAGCATATTTTAAAAATAATTGAAGTTGGGGCTCACTTGCCTGGCCTATGTGAAGTACTGGGTTTGATTCTCGGCACCATACACAAATAAAATAAAGGTCTATCAACAATTTTATATATATATAAAATTGAAGTGATTGTTGCTGGGGGCAGTTCAAGAGAATGAGAGGCTATTTTCTTGTTATAAACTGCCTAATTCCATATTACTAAGTGGAGACATGTTTTAAAATAAATATTAAGAAAGAAGACATAAACTTTGCCTAATGTACACAATTTCCTGGAGCCCTTGCTAGTGTGTGCACTGGGGACCATACACTGTTTCTTGCTTTATGTTGCTTTATGTGCACTTGTCCAGATGGTAGACTTTATATATTTACACACACACACACATATATGTGTGTGTATGTATGTATGTATGTGTATATATATATATATATATATATATATATATATATATATATATATTTTAAATATTTATTTTTTAGTTTTAGGTGGACACAATATCTTTATTTTTATGTTGTGTTGAAGATCGAACCCAGTGCCTCGCGCATGCCAGGCAGGCGCGCTACCACTTGAGCTACATCCCCTGCCTATATATATAAAGTTTGTTTTGTTTTCTTTTTTTGCAGTACTAGGGATTGAACTCAGTGCCTCACACACTTTAGGCAAGGGCCCTACCATTGAGCTGCATTCCTAGTCTTTTTTTTTTGTTTTTTTTGGGACAGGACTAAGTAGCCCAGGCAGGCCTTGAATTTGTCATTCTGCCATAGTTTCCTGAGTCATACAGGCATGGGCCATAGTACTTGGTTCCATATATTTCTTTTTTCTTTTTTAAATTGTTTTTTAGGCAAATTTTACATTATTTTTAAATAAATACCTTTATTTTATTCACTTATTTTTATATGGTACAGAGGATTGAACCCAGTGCCACACACGTGCTAGGCAAGTCTCTGTCACTGAGCTACAACCCAGCCCCCTGTTCCATATATTTCTCTCTCTCTTTTTTAAACCTTTATTTATTTATATGCCATGCTGAGAATCGAGGCAAGTGCTCTACCACTGAGCCACATCCCCAGCTCCCCACATATTTAATAGGATAGTATTATAAAACTCACATCAGGTGCCAAACATAGGTCTTTCCTTTCATCATAATGAACAGATATGAAAAAAAAACCAGATCAGATGTTTTTGTTTTGAGTTCACATAGTTCGTAGTGCAGTTCACAGTATGACCTGGGTAAAAGGGACTATACGGTCTTCTGGCTAATACATTACTTTGCCCCATGACAGCCCACACCCTGTGCACACAACTCCAATGATGGGCTCATTACCCCCTTGGACAGGCCCTTCCATCTCCAGGTTCTGCAGGTTGAGACTAGAGTGACAGTGACACCCTCCGTTCCATATCTTTTCATTTCTTTACCTCTGCTATTTCCACTGTGCCTGGGCTGGCTTGATGTAGAAACCCTTCACCATCCTGACCCAGGTGGTCTGCTGGGCAGTGGGGAGAAGGGGGAAGGCTCTTTCTTTGGCCCAAACCGGTGGCCTCTTAACCTGGCTCCAGATGCATTCCTTGGAAGGGCTGGGGTCCACCCTGTGTCTTGGGCAGAGAGGCAGACAGTGGCAACCAGTTTGAAGCCCTTGGTCTTCTCTTTTTTTTTTTTTTTTGGGGGGGGGGGGGGGGTACTAGGGATTGAACCCAGGGTGCATAAACTGTGTCACATCCCCAGCCCTTTATCATTTTGAGACAAAGTCTCACCAAGTTGCTAAGGCTGGCCTTGAACTTGTGATCTTCCTGCCTCAGCCTCCCAAGTTGCTGGGATTACAGGTGTGGGCCACCATGCCTGGTAGAGACCTTGGTCTTGAGGGCAAAAGCTGTGCAGTTGTTCCTGTCCAGTATCACTTTTCTGGGCCAACTTCTCCTTTCTGCCAGAGGGGGTGCAAAGCCCATGGAGTGTCAGAGCTAAAAACAGTTCAGAAACTGCCTCATTTTACATGAGGGGAGACCGGAAACACAGAGGAATCTCGTTACTTCCTGCAAGCCTGAGCCGTGTGCCACACATCAGGCCACACCTGGTCAGATGGGGAAAGATGTAGGTTCCCAAGAGCAAGGCTGCTGGCTCCCAGGTGACTCCTGTGACCTGTGAGGAGCACTGGCGAGACTTCCCAGGGACTCAGCAGGCATGAGGGGCTTGAGGGTTTTGAGCATTTAGGTCTAAACTGAGCCTTTGCTTAAACTCCAGTCTCACCTCTGTGCCAGCCAATTCTCTTGCTCTGGCTGCTGCCCAGTGAACTTTCCACCCTCAGGGCTGATCTGGACTCCCAGGCACAGAAGGGCAGTCTGATGGGCACTTTAGGGCTTCTGTCTCCCCAGCCCTTCCCCTAATCCCAGAAATGCCTCTTCTGGTGCTGCCTGCCTCTGCTCTACCTAATTCCACTTTTCTTTCCACAGATGCTCTTTTTGAACATGAGCATCCAGGTCAGGAGCAGATGGTGTGTGGTCTCTGGGAGTGCACATGGGCACCCTCTGCCCTCCTGCGCCACTTCTTCCTCTGGCAACCTGCTGGTGGGGCCTTGGAGCCCTGAGGTGGTGGCAGGGTCCAAGCCTTTGTAAAGGTGCCCTATGGGGAGATGGCATTCCTTCGGTGGGTTGCTGAACAGAAAGTGGAACCCCAGGCTGACAGGGGGCTCAGTCTCACCCAAGAAAAGCCTCTGACTTATCAGGCCAGGCTCTCATCCAATTCTGGCCTTGGCCTGCAGCAGGAGGTGAGTGGGGTGCCAGAGGGAAGTGGAAAAGAAAAAGAGTCAGTGTCCTCTTTTCATCTCGACAGCTCAGAACTCTTCCTTGGGACTGGGTGAGGTTTCTGGGAAGTACTGGGAGGCAGTGGGCAGCAGAAGCTGCCTCTGGAACAATACCAGGGCATGTTCTGAGAAAGGAGCCAGGCCTTCTTATACTCACTAGCTGGTGCTATAGCCCCATGGCAGGAGTGGTGAGCAGGGGATGCTCAGGAGAGGAGTGGGAAGCTGGCGCCCCAGCACACTGCTGCATGGGGAGTGGCCCAACCCACCCAGCTCAGTGAAAGTGGCTGATGGATCTTGCTGACTCCATTTGGCAGGGGCCTGAACACTGGCCCAGGGCTCAGGCGGCTTCCAGCCCCTCACTCACAGGCATGTTGATGTAGGCACTCAGCAGGGGTGCACTCTGGCCTTCCCGGAGCACCAGTACCTATGGAGGAGGTGCCATGGAGTTGGGGCATACACCTGGACCCCTGCTCTCTGTTCCCTGCAAAGGCCAAGCCTGCTTGTCTGCACTGACCTTAATGACAGGCCACTAGGGCTCTGCTGAAGGGATAGGGAGAGGGGAGGCCTCAACTGTGCAGTTACCATAGCTCCACCCTGCAGCCCCTGAGGGCCTTGTCCATACTTACCCTTACTGACCTCCCCAAGGTCCCACCTTCCAAGAAGTACCAGTGGATGGTTTACCTTGATGATGTCTGAGATGCCCTTGTTACTGAGACTCTCCACAAAGGTCTCCAGAGGGTAGCTGAGCCCTGGCACCAGCAAGGGGACCTAGGTTTGGAGACAGAGGATGCCCAGCTACTAGTTGGCAGATCACAAAATGTGCTTGTGCCTGCCATCAGCTGTGTCTCAGGATTTCTCAGGGTGGGCCAGGCCATGGTGCAGTGCTGGGAAGCCAATGCTCCAGGGTCACATGATGGGTCTGTGGTTAAACCTAGATTCCTACCAAGGCCAGGGCTGTTTCTTCTACATTCCAGAGTTTTGAGTTTCTTCTCCTTCTAACCTGGGCTGTGGGGGAAAAGCAGACCCTTTGCTCTGTGATGACACTCTCTGGAGTAGAGAGGATCCCTTTTGGTAGCAGGAGCAGCTGGGAAGCAGGCTGGGGCTTCTTGGCCACCAACAATGTTGGACAGGTAGGTAGGACTCAGGCTCTGCTATTCCCTACTACATTCTGTATGGCTCCTGGGCCTGTTAGACTGGGAAAAAGGTGGCAAAGGCAAGGCCTGGTGCTCCTTCCAGATGCCCACCTGGTGTCTGGCTGAGTTGGTCTGTTGGCCACCTACTAGCCTACTGCGGACTGGTGAGCATCTAATCAAGACCCTGCCCTAACCTATTGTATCCCATGACTCAGGGCGGGTTGTGGGCGGGGCTAAGGGGAGATCTAGTACCTTGAAGAAGGCCCGAGGCAGGGCATAGAGTGCCTCGTTGTACAGGAAGCAGATCAGCAGCCCTGTCACAGGGCGGACTGTTGAGGTGTTCTGCAGATGAAGCGTGAGCTTGAAGGTGGGCCCCAGGCCCTGGACCTGTGGGGATGGGTGGAAAAGGCCCTCAGGACTGAGGACTTTGGGCACTGAATCCAGGAGCCTGGCCCTGTCTGCTTCTTCATCAGTGTCCTCAAGTTATCCCAACAACTGCTCTAGTGCTTTATCTATCTGCCTTCATCAAAATGCACAGAAGATAGACGGGGCAGCAGAGGCCTGGAGAGGAGAGGGCCTCGATGAGACCACCTAGCAAGGTGGAGGCAAAGCCAGCCAGGCTCATGGCCCAGCTCCCTCCTGTCTTCACTGCTGCTCCTGCCCGCTCCCTAGGCCTGTTCTACCTCCCACCCTTGTCCTGGTAGATGAGATTTTCTCCCTCGCACCCTGAGTTCCTCTGTCACCCCTTCCTCCTCTATATCTATCCACTCTCTTTAGGAACTAAGTGATTAGAAACCTGGGTAGAGCAGACAATACACATAGGGACCAACTGAGAGCTGGCTGTAGCCTTGTGGTCACTCAAATTTGGGCATGTGTGGGCTTCTCCTCCCTCACGCCCAGGCATACTGCCTATGGCCAGACCAGGCTGGCCCTTCTCTGTACCAGGCGGTCCTATGGCTACTGAAGCAAACAGTATTCTACTCTATGCCATTAGATCCCTTGAGGCTCCTGGGAAGAAATGTTCCAAGGTGACACTCTGTGCTCCCTGTCCCATGTCTAGGAGCACAACACAGAACCAGGGGGCTGAAGAGGAAGTCTCCTTCTGTGGCCAGCCACAGAAGAGGGCAGTACAAGAAGCAAGACGGTGAAGGCAGCTCTCCCAGAAGGATATGGAGGGAGAAAGGGAGCCTGGGGTTTACTCCATGGCATTGGCTCTGGGGGCTTAATTGTGTGGCCCTCCTGACCTCTGCCCTCTGGCCCTGATACGCCCACACCTGGGTGCTCACCACAGCATGCAGCTTGAGCGGTTCCCAGGCTGTGGCCGACACGGGGCTCAGGCTGGACTCAAGGGCCTGCACGTAGGCGCGGGCTGCCCGGAGGCGCAGCAGGTAGAGGTCTGTCTGGAAGCTCCGGTGCATGGCTGTGAAGAGAATATGAAGGCTGAGGCTGGAGGGAGGCTGCTGTGGGGAGGGTGTGAGATAGATGCAGTGGGCAGGACCTGCAGAGGCTGGGAATGTGGGACAGGAAGGACTGAGGCCAAGCTTAGCCTTTTGGTGACCCTGCTGTGGACTATGCTCTAATTCCTCTCCATTGGTTCTCCCACCACCTTGCTGTCTGCACATCTTAGTCTCCTTCTGTTCAGCTCTAAAGGCTAGTGTTTCCTGGATTCTGGGCCTTGGCTCATTCTCTTACATTTCTTTGTCCCCCGGACAACCCAGGGCCTGTCTTGGCTCTGACCATCCCAAAGTGCAATAGCTGCTGGCCCCTATGAACTGGGACCTTGTTATTCCCATGTCCCTCCACATTGTGTGTTGTCTCCAACAGCATCTGGGCATCTAGGCCTGCAGCTGCTTAACTGCCCCATGGTCATCTCTCCCTGGGTGTCCTATAACACCTCAAGTTCAACACTGTGGAAGCCAGCCTCACTATCCTCCCCCAGTTACTGCATCACTGTCCCCCAGGCCACCTTGATTTAGCCCTCACCCTAACCCTTTGGTAAGAGCAGGTAACTAACTCTTCCTCAGCTTGCCCCCAGAGTCCCCTGTCCCTGCTCCTGCCAGTCCTCCTCTGTCCAGACCCAACATCTTGGTCTGTTTTTGCTTTTCTATTTTGTGTGAGGTGCCTTTTGCCATTTGGAAGTTTTGCATCTTTATTTTATTTTATTTATTTATTTATTTATTTATTTTTTGAGAGAGAGAGAGAATTTTAATATTTATTTTTAGTTTTTTTTTCGGTGGACACACATCTTTGTATGTGGTGCTGAGGATCAAACCCGGGCCGCACGCATGCCAGGCGAGCGCGCTACTGCTTGAGCCACATCCCCAGCCCCAGTTTTGCATCTTTATGTTATCCCACTTATTTATCTTTCCTTTTTCCTCTAGTAGTTTTACAATTTACTTATTTATTCATTTATTTATTTTTTAGTTTTAGGTTGACACAATATCTTTATTTTATCTTTATGCGGTGTTGAGGATCGAACGCAGTGCCTCACGCATGCCAGGCGAGTATGCTACCACTTGAGCCACATCCCCAGTCCACAATTTATTTATTTTGGACTTTTTTTTTTTTTAGTTGTTGATGGACCTTTATTTTATTCATTTATTTATACCTGGTGTTGAGACTCGAGCCCAGTGCCTCTCACAAGTGAGGCAAGCACTCTACTACTGAGCCACAACCCCAGCCCCAATTTATTTTTAACCTAACCATAATTAACTTTTGTGATTCATATAATTCCCTTAGAAGCAAGTTATTCTAATTGTACTTTGTTTTTTTAAGAAACAGAGTCTCTATATGCTGTCCAGGCTGGCCTCTAACTCCTGGGCTCAAGCAATCCTCCCACCTTGGCCTCCAGAGTAGCTGGGACTTTGTGTATGCGCTGTACCTGACTCTAATCATGGTGTTTGTACAGTTGTGCCTTTCCCCACTAATCTGAAATGACACCTTTAACACATACTGACTTGCCACACATACAAGGCCTTTTCTGAACTTCCAGGATGTTCCTAAATGACTTTTGTCTCCTTCCACATCAGCACCATCAACTCCTACAGTTTTGTAGTTAATTTACAATCTAATAGGGTAAGTTCCTTCATTTTTATCCTCCCAAAGTTCTCAGATTTACTCTTAGAATCAACTGATCAAGTCCTTAAAATGAACCCCATGGGAATTTTTTCTGTAACTCTGCTATTTCTAGATTGATTCTAGAAGGATTGACAATTTTACCAGTGTGTCTTCCCACCCTGAGATTTGGTGAGTCTGTCCATTCAGGTGGCCTCTCATGTTTTTGAAGACAGTTTTATAATTTTCTTTATTAGGCTTTGTACATTTTCTTGTTACATTGTTTCCTAGGGATTTATTTTAAATGGAAACTTTTTCCATTATGTTTGCCAATTGGATATTATTGGTATATACAAAAGATTGTGATTTTTAAATACTTCACATCTGGTTACCTTTCAGAACTCCCTACTTATGTTTCTGCTACATTATCACTTACATGTTCTAGGTTATAAAAGCCTGCTCTTTTCTCTGTCCTCCAATTTGTCCTTCAAACTGAGACCAAGATCCCTTTAAAAAACTTAGCAGGAAGAGTTACTGCTCTTTTTTACTTGACCTCTTTGCCAGTTCCCCATGCCCTAAACACACATTTGAATGTAGTTTTGCATTCCTGGCCCTTTGGGAACTGGCTCCAACCTGCCTCCCCAGTTACCCGTGGCCACTCGGCTTCCTGGCCTTACAGCTACATGGCAGATGCTGTCTTAAATCCAGGTTAGGGCCCTGAGCTTCTATCCCAGACTCTGCCTAAATTGCCTTTCCCTCCCCACTGTCTGGTGGACTTGTAATTATCTTTTTGGCATTAAGTCAATGTCACCTCTCTCTAAAGGTTTTATTGTTTCCCAGGCAAATATTCCTTATTGCCTTATGTGTGTCAACAGCACACAGAAACTCCTATTCCTGTCATACAACATGAAGTCTCCTATGTAGGACTAGCCTACTTTAAGGAACCTGGCACAAGGCTTGGCATGATCCTGTAATGAATGAATGAAAAGGGAAAGTTGAACAAGCAGAAAATCTTCATTAGTTTCTACTCTGAAAATACTTGCAGCTAGAAGTGACCGCTGCCCCTCCAACTTTTAAAGGCACCTATCCCTTGAGCAACGATGATATGTAGGTAGGTGCACCTCCCATGCTGTCCCTGACTTGTAGAGGTATGAGACTTGTTGGGTTGGCAGAGGTCCCCCTGACTGCCTAGGGTACCTGAGAACCATCCACCCACTTTTTGCTGTTGGGAACAATGGAGGAGGAGAAAGAGGGGGAGTCTTACCAGTGCCAGCCTCCCGTTCTCTCAGTGTCTGATCCACGTAGAGCCGAGTCTTTCGGGGCACATTAAGTTTTGTGGCTTGGGCTGGTGGGGGACCCACCTCGCCTGTGCTCTCCACAAACACTGCTGTGCGCTTCAGGATCTTAATTATCAGGCCACCACCTAAGGAAGTGAACAGACAGAAACCGATCTGTCCTCCCCAGTTCTATTCAACATTCCCATTCTCTCTGCCCAAAACAATCAACTTAATAGAGAGCCATTTTTATACAGGTCTGTCTTTCTGACAAGACTCAGTTTCTGGAAGGAACACAATATGTCTCAATAGTGTTCTACCATTAATTCACCCAGCAGCTCCTTGTGGAGTACTGAGACATTCCTAGCACTGTGGCAGGTACTACAATACTTGCTGTGGAGACACGACCCGACCTAAGCCTGGCCTCTGGGCAGCAGCATCCAAGTACTAATAAGCTGTCTGAATGGCAACTCAGACCCTGACAGGATGTGTCTGCAGGCCCATCTTTCCATATTTGGGTCTGTTTGTGTTTCACCTCCTTCTCTCCTCTTTCTCCAGCCTGTCCCCTTCATTCCAATGCCAATGCCAATGTCCTTGACAGAACTGAGTCTTCTCACCTCGAGTAGTCATGACAAGGGTGTTGTCCTCCCGCCCATAGCGGCCAAAACAAAGGCTGGTCACTGCATCCTATATGGGAACATCAGAGTTAAGCTGAGGAACATCTTGGAGAGAAAAGCAAGATGGAGAAGATGAGTAAAACCCTGGATAAAACAGGTGAGAGGTGAGGAGAGGCCTGGGGGCAATGCTGCCACCAAAATACTTATTTCCCATCTCCTCTCCAACTTCACTGCCATGGCCACAGTTCCAGACCAAACACCATTGGCCCTGACTTCTGGGGTAGTCTCCTAATCAGTCCTCCAGCCTATTGTTGACCCCACTCTGTCCTTCGTAATGCTGTGTCTGTTGCGTTTGTGAAAACCAACCTCCAATGGCTTTTGTCCTGTCCTCCTTATCAGAACACTTAGGCCTTTGACATCAGACTCCAACCAGCCTCATCCACCAGTTTTCTCCTCTGTACTTCTCCCAGCCACCTGCCCTCACAGCACCTGAAGGCCCAAACCTGTTGCTTTCAGATTTTATAGTGAGACTCAGGATAATTTATACCCACACATAATGGTTTCACATGTGATACACTCTGAAATTTCTATCCTATTTTTTAAAATGTTGCTGATTGTAATCCACTAAATTGATTTAATGACTCATGAGAGTATAAAAATCTCTGTTCCAAACCTCATCAAACCTCCTGGATTCTTCCATCAGAGTGCTTCATGACTCTCAACCTTTGTTCATGATGCCCCGTCTGGAATATTCTTCCTCTATTTGTCAACTTAGCAAACTAATTTACCAGGTGAGTGGCCATTTGCTCTGTGAAGTGTCCCATGAGTTTTTCCTGTCTACCTTTCCCCTTCCTTCCCCTGGTCACTGGCCCCTCTCTGCTTTTCCAGCCTTTGCTCTGCTGCAGGCCGCCTTGTGTGTTCACATGCTGCATCTGGAGTGCTGGTTGTTCCCGTAGGTTGTGAGCTCCCTTAAAACATCATTTCACACCCCCCCCCACCCTAAATGGTGACTTGTACATATAAAGTGCTTGAAAAATGTTTCTGAAATGCTTCCATATACTGTCAGGAGAGGCAGCTAAAAATATTCACAAGTGAGATTGGGGCAAGGAGGGATCAATAACAGACGCTGAAGCCAGGGTGGGACTCACCGGGGTGCGGATGATGTTGAGCAGAGCCTTGTCACGGTAAATACGGACCTCTCCATTGGCCAGCCCTGCCATGACAGCCTGCAGACCCCGGGAACGCTGCTCTAGGAGGTTCATGGTCAGGATGGCGGCAGGCATCTGCACAGTCCACAATTTCTTACCCTGGCAGGGAACACAGAGTCTTCAGGGGCTCAGGGATTGGAGTAGAAAGAAGAAGTGGCTTGAAGTTGTGGGAAAGGAGAAGCCAGGAGGTCTTTCCAGCCAAGGGGACTGGGGTGGACATGTGTGGAAGGGCTGGGGCTTGCCAGAGGCCACACCTTGTGAGTAAAGCCGTGCAGACTATCTTGGGTGCTGCCCACCACCAGGATCTTGTGTACCCGGACAAGCCCCACAGGCTGGGAACTCAGCTCAATGCAGTACTTGGGGCGCTTGGAGTCTCTGTGGAATAAAGACACATTTATACTGCCCCAGAGAAAGTTCCTCTCCAATCCCTGGCTGACTCTTCTCCTTCTAAGCCCCACAGCCTAACCAGCCTAACCTCAGAGGAACCCTGGCCCCAGAGCAGATGCCCAGGGGATTGTTTCCACCTCTCCTGCGTTAGTAGATGTGTGACTTTGGAAAACATCATGTGAGTTCTCTACCCTGTTCCCTCCTGCCCTTACTCTGGTGACATATGATAGCTTGACATTGCACAGAGCTTTCACTGAGCTTATTTTAGACTGTCTAGCCAGTGCTAGTAGACTTGGGCAGTTTACTAATTTATAAGAAAAAGATGAAGAGTTTTCTCTGGGTAGAAGCCAGTTTCCTGTCCTTCCAATCTGCTTCTCTTAACCAGAAAGTGGGGAAAATTCCTGCTTTCAAGCACAGGCAAAGTCCTACATTTCCCTATCACCAAGTCCAAGTCAACATCATGGCCTATCTGATGACTGACAGCCCACTGGTCTCTGGGCCTCTTTCTAGTTACTCTCTGGCCAGCAGAGTAATTTTTAATCTTTTTTTTTTTTTTTTTTTTTTTGAGATTGGGCCTCACTCTGTTGCCCAGACTGGTCTTGAACTCCTAGGCTCAGCCATCCTCCTGGTCAAGTAGCCGGGACTCCAAGTATATGCCACCAGGCCCAGTTTTCCTCACATTTTTGAGCAACTGGTTCCTCACCCCTGGATGGGCATTCCTGATCACCTGGTACTTTTTCCCAATAAGCCTGCATTTTTCCTCCATACACTCATCCAATTTGGAATATCTTGGTTTGTTGACTTTAACACATGCCTCTTGCATGAAGGAAGGGACCATATTTATAGTGTTTTGTTTAGGAACATAGCCCCAATTCCTTGCACAGTGCTTAATAAATGGTAGGTGCTCAATAAATATTTCGGGAATTTAAAAATGTTGCATGAAATATCAAACTAACGCATAAGGAAGTGTCACATACGCTATAAATTGATATAACAAATACAAGAGACTTTCTATTTCCTTGCTTTCTGACTGCATTGCTCACCTATTGTGGCTACCTCACCAGGCTCCAGCTTTGCCAGTCCTTGTCTCATAGCCTCCAGATATTCCCTCTATGCTCATGGGCTCAGTCTCCTTTATAAAACTCTTAGCTCTTTTCATTCCCATATCAGAGTTCCCAAGCCCCCTTGTTCATCTTGCTAACCCCCCGAGAAAACACATTTCTGCAACATTCCTCTGGCCCGGAGACCATGGCTACCTTCTCAGGATATAGATGTTCCCATTTCGACAGGCAGCTGCAAGCCGGAACTCTACGTCAAACTGGCCAGAAACCTCCAGGAAGACTGGGACGCTGGGAAGGTTCATCTGCAAAGAAGAGACTCAAACATCCTGCTTTCTCAGAGCCCCAGCCCCTCCCTGGTTTGAAGTAACTCCTTTGAGTCATCTAAAAATCTTCCTTATCTCAAGTAACTCCTTCCTTGTCAAAACTCCCCGTCTCCTCATTTGCTCCCTGCTTGTCACAGGTTAGACTCATATAATTTTTCTGGAGGGAAACGTGGCAATATGTAGCAAAAGTCTTTTAGTCTATCCCTTTGGCTAAACTCTATTGCATCTAGGAATAGAGTTTAGCCAAAGGGCAGTATCTCTACAAGCACCCAAAGATGCTCGGGCAAGGATGTCTACTGCACTGGTGTTCCTAGTAGTGAAAAAAATGAAAGCAACTTAAGTGCCCAACAACAGATGGCAGGTTAAATAAATTAGGCTACTCTAGATAATGGATATGTGTGGCCTTTAAAAAGGCTGATGTGGTTTTAATCATATGACCATATCCTTAATTGATCATATACTTCAATGTGAAAAAAGCTCATTACATGATCCTGTATTATAATCCTGTTTTTTTTAATTTCTTTTTTAAAAATGGTACTGGGAATTGAACCCAGGGATGTTCTCCCACTGAGCTAAACCCTAGCCCTTTCTATATATTATTTTGAGATACGGTCTCACTAAGTTGCTAAAGCTGGCCTTGAACTTGCAATCCTTCTGCCTCAGCCTCCTGAGTTGCTGGGATTATAGGCATGCTCCACCATGCCCAACCATAATCCTGTTTTTTATAAACATGTAAAGTTATATATCTATATCCATATAAGAAACTGTCTCCAACCTGCTTCCTTATCCAGAAAGTGGGGAAAATTCCTGCTTTCCAACCACAGGCAGAAGGATACATGCCCCCCCAATTTTTTTCTTTCTTTCTTTCTTTTTTTGGTACTGGGGATTTAATCCAGGAGTGCTTAACCAACAGAACCATCCCTAGCCCTTTTTAATTTTTATTTTGAGACAGGGTCTCACTAAGTTGCTTAGAGCCTCACTAAATTGCTGAGGCTGGCTTGAACTTGCAATCCTCCTGCCACAGCCTCCTGAGCTACTGGGATTAAAGGCAGGTACTACTGTATCTGGACAAAATTTTAATAGTAGATTTCTGTGGGTGGTGGGATTTGGGGATATGAATTCAAATATTTTTTTCTTCATGTTTATCAATAGTTTCTAATTTTTCTACAGTGAATGTGTCCTACCCAGCACTATGTGGGAGAAAAGGGAGGGACTGTAGCCTGGATCTTGGGTGTTCCCAGGGTCAGTCAGACCCAACACTGACCTTGGCCAAAATGGTGAAGGCTTCAGGGTCCAGTACTAGGATCTCTTTGTTCTCAGTGCCCAGCACCAGGCATGACACGGCATCCTCATCAGCCAGGTTTTTCTTCAAGGTGATCATGGTGGTGATGACTGTCTGCAGAAGGACTCTAGAGGTCACTCAAGGAATCCTACACCATCCCCCAGATATCCCTGATGTCACAGGAAGGAAGAAAGAAGGCAAAGAAAGAGGAGGACGAGGACGACAAGGAAGCATCAGAGATGTGACAGATTTATGTGTAAACATGTTTATGCAACAAACCTAACTTCCTCACAACAACAAAAGGAAACAGTAAGTCAATTATGAGCTATCTCTGTGATCAAATCAACGTGGATGTTTCCTAAAAATTATGTTTTTAAAAGATTCAATGACATAGGGAATGCTTCTAATGGGAGAGAAAAACAATAAGTAAAGTCATGTTTGTAAAATCACAATTTAAAATATATAAACATGCTGGAAGAGGGCTGGGGGTCTAGTTCAGTGGTTGAGTGATTGCCTACCATGCACAGGCCTTGGGTTGTGATTTTATACATAAGGAAAGGCAATGATTATATACTTCAATGTGAAAAGGGCACATTATATGATCCCGTATCATGATCCTGTTTCTTTTCTTTCCTTTTTTTTTTTTAATATTTATTTTTTGGGCTGGGGATGTGGCTCAAGCGGTAGCGTGTTCGCCTGGCATGCATGTGGCCCGGGTTCGATCCTCAGCACCACATACAAACAAAGATGTTGTGTCCGCCGATAACTAAAAAATAAATATTAGAATTCTCTCTTTCTCTCTCTCTCCCTCTCTCACTCTCTCTTTAAAAAAAAAAAAAATTATTTTTTAATTGTAGTTGGACACAAGACCTTTATTTTATTTATTTTTATGTGGTACTGAGGATTGAACCCAGGGCCTTGCACATACTAGAGGAGTGCTCTACTGCTGAGCCACAACCCCAGCCCCTCCTTTTTTTTTTTTTAAAATGGTACTGGGGATTGAACCCAGGGTGCTCTCCCACTGAGAGCCCTTTCTAAATTTTATTTTGAGATATGGTCTCAAACAACAACAAAAAAGTGCTGAAAAGTTAAGCCCTCAAATACAAAGACTGTTTATCTCTGACAATGAAATCATGGAGGTTTTTTAGGATTACAATGGACAATTTTTTTTTTTTTTTTTTGGTACAGGGGATTGAACTCAGGGTCACTTGACCACTGAGCCACATCCCCAGCCCTTTTTTGTATTTTATTAAGAGACAGGGTCTCACTGAGTTGCTTAGTGCCTTGCTTTTGCTGAGGCTGGCTTTGAACTCGAGATCCTCCTGCCTTGGCCTCCGGAACTGCTGGAATTATAGGCCTGCGCCTCTATGCCCAGCCCGCACATGTTCTTTTGTAATTAAAACTAGACAACAAATAAGAAAAAGGATGCTCCCTTTCTAAGGAATTTCTCACATGAATATTAGCAGAACCAAAAAATTTTTCTTTGGAAAAATTAGCTGCCCACTGTGTGATCATCATTAAGAACAAAAAACAGGGACCATTCTCAGCACACAGTAGGATTAAAGGTCACAGAAACATGGATGGACATTAGCGTTCCCAGTCACTTAACCATAACACATGCTTGGGAAAATTGTCCCCTTCTCTTCCAGATAATTAATCCATTTCTCAGTTTGAAGAGTATTCAAAGATGCTAATAACTAAAGACCTGAGCTGTTGATAAGCAGGAACGAGCAATGATTCTCACAGAACTGAGGATCATGTTAACAGCGCAGCATGTGTTGGCCAGCACATTCAGTTAAGGTGGCCTCTACAAGTGTGGATGGTCCCATGAAAAATATGGAGGGAATAAAAGGGAAGCATTTCTTGCCCAATGTTCAGATGGAATGGTTACATAAACTAACTAATAACCAACGAAATAATCAAGAGCTACTAAAAATAAAGGTTTTTTTTTTTTTTTTTTTCAGTACTAGGGATTGAACTCAGGGTTGCTCTACTGCTGAACTACACCTTAGACCTTTTCATTTTGATCTTGCTAAGATGCTGAGACTTCAAACTTGTGATCTTCCTGCCTCAGCTTCCCAAGTAGCTGTGATTCCAGATGTGTACCCCTGTGCCTGGGCCTAAAAATGGGAGTTCTTGAAGATTATTTGAGGCTCAAAATTTAATGTTACATACTCAAGGGAAGCAGAATGTACAGGACTATTTGTGAAGGAAATGTACCAAAATGGTAAGAGTAATAATCTCTGGTTAGTGAAATTAGAGTCATTTACATTTCCCCTTTACACTTCTCCTTATTTTCCAAAAATACCTTTACCCTCAATAAAATAAAAGCTATACGCAAGTTATATAAGGTTATATATTTATGTGTTAAAAGCTGTAACTATTAACTGTACATGTAGAAGGTACTGCTGTTTTATGACTTTATATATGTGGTGTGGCTGGAAAGGAAACTGCAAACTCAAACTGGTCTGGTTTGGTTGTAGAACTTGCCACTGATGTTATATGGTTTTAAAAAAAAGTAAATATTTTTTACAGGGTAATAAAAAGAGAAGGGGGTGCCAGGCATGGTGGCACACATCTATAACCCCAGCTAATCAGGAGGATCACAAATTCAAGGCCAGCCTGAGCAACTCAGCAAGACCCTGTCTCAAAAATAAAAAATAAAAAGGGCTGGGAATGCAGCTCAATGGTGAGCACCCATACCAGAGTGGGGGTGGAAAAGGACAGATAGATGGATGGAAGGAAGGAAGAAAGGAGTGTTACCTGCCGCTTGATGGTCTTGGACTTGTGTTGGTTCACAAATGCCTCCATTTCACTCAGCTCTAGATGCAGAAACCTGGACACAGAGAAGTGGTATGTGCATTTCCCAGCTCAGTCCATGGCCACTCCCTTCCCCTGGCTCTTCCTAGGATCCTTACCTGAGTGACTGTACAGACAAAGGCACCTCTGCCTTCTCCCTGCAAGAAGAGTGGCCAGTATGGCAGGTTTGGTGGAAGAATGGCCCCTAAGGGTCAGAGCTTTGGGATGCAGGAGTGGGAGTGGGAGGGGTCATGGGGGAGGTGGGCTCTCACCGGATGCCCTCCAGCATCTCTTTTAGGGTCAAGGGGTCTATCCGGTCCTGTGATAGCAAGAGAAAAAAGAAGAGCCTGTGAGCTCCAGCACCCATGTCCTCAGGGAGCCCACACTTCCAGGGGTTCCTCTTCCTTTCTACTTCCCACCCAACTTTCTTGCACTGAGCCCCAACTTCCTTGATTTGAATCCAGCCTTGGGGCCAAGGCCATCCACATTATCCTCCCTCAAAATCCCTTACTCTTGCTGCTTCTAGTGCCCTACTTTCCTCTTGTGGGCCACTTCTTTCTTTGGTTTCCCTCACTCCACAGATGGGCAAGAGTGTGGCTAATGCAGATGATTCTCTGAGTTCTGCTCTTCAAAAGCCCTGGTTGAATGCCTCTCTGGGAGCAACTGCTTAGGGACTGAACCAGCACCTTACCCAGAAGGGCCACCACTGATGCTGTTGGAGATGAACTATGGCCAACCTCCCACAACTGGCCCACCTATGCGCCCACTCTTCCAGCTCAGAGCCTGGCCCTCTTCACCCTATGCCATCTTTGCCTTCTTGTTCCCATGCCCAATGTTGCTTACCTCCTTAGCTTGGTTCCAAAGGTCTTGTTCCAGAGGGTTTAAAGATAAAGGGGGAAGACTGAACTTGAAGTAGGGCCTAAGATTCTTATATATGTAGACACAAGGGCCTGAAGCAAGTGCCAGAGCTGGAGTCCGGGTCTCGTGTTGTTCCTCCATGAGGAAGGCAGCAGCAGCAGCTGGCAGAGCAGGCAATGGGTTTTCTGCCAGCACTGTTGGTCCTTTGAGCACCTTCAGACGGGGATGCTTCCCAGCAGGGCCAAGATCTCCCACCACCAGCTGCAGGGAAAAGATTGCTCATTCCAGGCTCAGTGTCCAAGAGATCTCTCCCAAGACCCTCTTCTTGGGCTGGGCCTTTTTTACTAATGCTCATTTCTTTATCCTCATACCAAAAAAAAAAGGCCTTGCCATCAGGCTTATAAGTCCTGTGCCTTTGGGAAAGTTAATCAACCTTTCAGAGCTCAGGTTTCCTGTGGGAAGCCATTCTCGCATGTGATTGGGCACCTCCCTGACTGGGTGTGAGGCATTCCGGCCAAGCTGGAAACACCTACCTCATGATACAAGTGGTGAAAACCAAATGAGATAATGAATTACAGAACCTGGTAAGAAATAGCTGGCAGCTGATGTTTTTATTTATCCATTCATTATTCATCTCTTTTTGTCTCCCCCCTTTCATCCAAGACCTTGCACATAATACACAATTGCTCTACCACTGGGCTAAAAACTTATTTATTTGTATTTTTATTATCTTTATATTAAAATTAAATTTAAAATTTACCTTTTTATTATGGAAAATTCCCAATCACAAAGAAAAGTAGAGAAACTTGTACAACGAATCCCCATAAACCCATTATCAGCTTAGGGCTGGGGATAGAGCTCAGTTGGTAGAGTGCTCGCCTTGCATGCATAAGACCCTGGGTTCAATCCCCAACACCAAAAAAAAAAAAAAAAATCACCTCATGGCCAATCCTAAAATCAGTGGTCTCTTGATAAACATAAAACTCTCACTTCCCTCCAGACTTTATTGTCTGCCCCCAGCTAAGAAATTTCCTCTTCCAGCAAAGAATCATGTCAAGGTAACTAAATTAAAAAGCACGTCTTGGTAGAATCCCCAACAGCATTCTGTTGTGCTTTACAAACTTCTTCAATCTGGATTAGAAAACCAATAGGTTCCTTTCACTTTAGAAGCAAAAATAAAATCAGCCCTAAAAGTGCATTCTTCACTGTACACGTGCATTCCAGATTATGCTAAGTCTCTTTGGAGCCAACAGAAAAATCTCACTTTGGGGTACTTCCCCACCCCCAACTCTGCTGGGGGTGACTGGTTTACCTTGTACTCTCCGTCCCCGTGCAAATCTGCCAGGGCTGGAATAAACAAAAAGACCATAAATCAGAGTCTCAAAATCCCAGAGGCTTCGCCATGGAATCTTACTCCCGCACCCTCCTAGCACCAGGGGTTCCTGATTCCAGAGACTCACCCAGGCAGGCGGAAAAGGTATGGATGTTGGCCATGGGGTCGTAGTGCGCGTCCAGCCATTTCGAATTGGCCTCATTGCTGGAAATGGGGGGGGGGGGGAAATTGGGGAGTGGGTCTCAACGCGAGGGTAAGGAAACTTTGGGGGAGCTAGTTAGTGCCTGAGACCGAGGAGTGCAGTGAGCTCTGAACGCCTGGGTCCCGGTCCCTGCGGCTCACACTTGCGCTCCTAGGGCAACGGTTTCCTTTCTCCCAAGAGTCCTTCCAGGACTGTCAGCGCTGCGCAAGAGCCTCAGGATCCCGGAGTCCGGCGGCCAAGGCACCCTCTTTACACGTGTGGGAAAGGACAACTTGAGAACCCCGGCCCTCACCTCTCAGCTAGGCCGCTGTCGGAATCAGGTGAAGACGCAGCAGCCATCTTCGCAGACGTCGTCTAGGCAACTGGCCCCGCCTCCCCCGCGGCGCAGCGTCCAATCACGCCCGGGCACGGGGAAGCGCGTGTACAAGGGTTCCGGGGAGAAGCTTTCCGGACCAGAGCCTGGAGACCCCAAGCTGAACGCACTGGCTTTCACGCTAGTGCGACGCGCTGAGGCACAGTCTCTTCATCTCTCTTATTTTGCTTTATGGCTTCTGGTTCCTGCAATCTCTGGGTCAGGGACAGGGGTCTCTGGCTTCGAGGCCTGGAGAGGAGCCCCTGATAGGCTTTGAACACCAACAAGGTTAACCTGGTTGAAGAGGCTGCCTTTCTGTAGAGGCTCAGGCTTCGGGAAACTAAACACAAGGGTTAAGGGACAGCGTGGAGTATCCTGACCCAAGTTGCCAGTTTCTAGTTTTTAGGCTTCTGGAATAATTTAAAGTGCAAGAAACGTAGTAAAGGAGGGCTGCTAAAATCGTCCTATGTGTGACTCTGCATCCTGGTTTATTCATGATGTCAAAATCCTGTTGTGGACAGGAGGGCAAAAATTACCCTCCTGCCCATTCCCTAGGTCTCAATCCTATTGTCCTGCCCCCAGCAAAAAGGAGGAATCATGCACACTGTAAGATGGTGGTTGTTTCTAATATTTATTTTTCTGGTTATAAAAGTAATACATGAAGAGCATTGGATTTGGCGAGAAGGTTTTGAGCCCTGGCTTTTTGTCACACGCCACCTGCAAGATCTAGACCAGTCACTGAACTACCAGTTCCTCATCTGGGAAACAGGACAAGAAGCCCTGCGTATGCTCTCCATACATGGCAGTGCAGCTCAAATCACAGAGGAGAAGCACTTGGTAAACTGGAAAGTGCTGACAAACAGAAGGGGTTAGCATCACCACCCTCAGATGAGGTAGCACCAAAGTTTGAGCTCCTGCCCCTCCGCTGACCTGTAGGGGTACACACACATTGGAGGGCCACTGGTAGTCCTGGTTTGATGGAGTGGGGGGCAGGGCCACACAAATCTTCTCAAGCCTGGCCAGACTGGGCCTCACTGGGGCTCTTCCAGAACCGAGCATCAGCTGTGGCCAGCCGGGTGAGGACCTCCTCCAACTCAGGTCCATCCTCTGGGAAGCGCTCTGTGAAGGATCTGATGAGACCAGCAGCTGAGGCCTCGTACTCCAGAAGCTGCACTTCTGAGCCTGGGAATGGACAGAGAGAAAACAGCAGCAGAAAGATCTTAAGAGAAGTACAATCACAGTGATGTCACAGGAGCTCCTAGTTCTTACTGAGCTCTTCTCTTGGGCCACAAATTATGCTCAATATTTAAGTTGATTTTCTAACTTAGTCCTCATAGTCATCTTTCAGGGTAGGAAATATTACAGGGAGAATAGTAATGAAACGCCCCCCTCTCATCCTTAAGATTAACACCAGGTGCCGTGTTAGATGAAACAGATATAGTGCTTGGCCTGGTGGGGCTTACAGTCCAGCAATGGCTTCATACCTGTCTAGACCATGGCCAAGTTTCCCAACTTCCCTAAGTCTCAGTTTCCTCATCTGTAAAGTGGGGTGAGCATAGTGCCTCTTCTCTCAAGGAGCTGAGGAATTACATACAATAGTGCATCAAGTGGGTGCTCACAAATGCTATCCACCAGCAGAGCAGCATCTGAGCTGATCACTCACCTGTGAAATGGGCTTGTTCGGAGGGTCCCCTGAGTACTCATGGGGAAGCACTCCCCTCTAACTCATTTCAGCTGCTCTAGCCTCTCACAGCACCTTGGTGCGCTCCACAGCATCTTGAGGTGCATGATAAAAGCGGAAGTTATGGGTTCAGATGGACCAAGTCCTGACTCTGTCTCCCACTAACTGTGTGATCCCAGATCAGTATGCAGCCCCTTTGTGTCTCTGTTTGTTTCCAGCTAAAAAATGGGGATAATAACCATTCCTTTCTGAGTTGTTGAGAGTTAATTCATGGAAAGTTTTCACCCAGTACCTGGCACCCAGAAGTCCTCCAAATTTAGCTATTGTCATTATCACCTCACCATCACAACTATTACCTTTGATAATCCAACCTATTCTTCAGGCTAGTTTAACCACTTCCTCCCTAGAACCTTCCCAGATTCTCTGAAGGCAGATGGGATCTTTCCTCCTCCATGTGTTCAGTGCACTGTTGGTATCTTCTGGGCACTTGTTAATGCTTCCCTTGTATAATTGCCTCCATGCCTAATCATTCTTAATGGGCTGTGAACTACTCAAGGGGAGGGCCTGGGTACCTTTCATGTCTCCACCCCTCGGTGGCTAACACAGGGTGGACATATCAAAGCAATGATGATATTGTCCATGGGGCTGGCAGGATTCACTCATTCATTTCATTTGACTATATAGAGTAGCTGTTGCATGCCAGGCCCACGCTAGGGGCAGGGGTATGCCACTTCTGGAGATGAGACGGACAAGAAAATGTCCAATCATGATAGACACAGAAGGAAAATGAAGCTGAAGGATAGAGAGGGATGGGAGTAGGTTACTTTATGTTGAGAGTGTGGGGCAAGTGCCTCTCAGGAGGTGTCATTTAACAGGGACCTGAATGTACCAGACAGGCACAGATCGGCACTATCATGCCAAGAACATGGAACGGTGTGTAAAGAGGTGACAGGGGTGCAGTGGGCTCAGTAGGTTAAAGAAATGTAAGGGCACAGAAGGCATAAGTACCATGCAGGGAGAGCCAGGACTTTTGGAAATGGAATTGAGAAGGCAGAGGAAGGACAGAGCTGATCCTCATCCTGGACACTACCAAGTTCTCCTTTGGGTTCTGCTCAGCCTGCAGAGTCCCAGCTCCTTGCCAGTCCTGATCTGGCACCCAGCAGCCACAATTCTCCAGCTACCGGCCTGGCCTCCCCACGAGCCCCTGCTCTGCCAGCCTTCCTCAGACCTGCTGTCGCTGATAACCATGAGAGAGAGAGAGAGAGAGAGAGAGAGAGAGAGAGAGAGAGGGAGGGGGAGGGAGAGGGAGAGGGAGAGGGAGAGAGAGAGAGACAGTGTGTGTGTGTGTGTGTGTGTGTGTTTCGTGGTAAATGCTGAGATCTGTCAGGGGAAGGACCACCCCAGACAGCCTTCCCTGGGTCCCCATCAAGGGAGCCCCAAGTCCATTACCTTCAAGGCGAGTGTTGGGCTGAACAATCAGCTTCCGTGACTCCTTGCGCAGCAGCACCGTGTCCCTGAGAGAGAGGAAGCACTCGGGGGGCGCATCAGTGACCGCCGCATAACCCTCATACAGGGCCCTCCCTCCAGCCACATCCCCGGTGGACTTCAGCACCTGTAGGAAGGAAGGAACAGGTGTCTAGGATGGGCACTCCCCTATGTCCATAGGACTCTGCCAGGGGCCACGGCTGGCGGTGCCCAGCCCTGAAGGGGCTGTGGTTGAATGTGTCGAGTCCAGAATTCAGAGTTAACACTTAATGGCTAATGTGATGGTATTAAGAGGTGGGGCCTTTAAGAGGTGCTTGGGCCATGAGGGCTCTGTGAATGGGATTGGCCCTTATAAAAAAAGAAACTTCCTGCATCAGCAGGCCCTTCTGCCTTCCACCATGTGAGAACACAGTTCCTCCTGTCCAGAGAATATAGCAACAAGACACTACATTGGAAGAGGAGAGTAGTCCTCACCAGATGCTGAACCTGCTAATACTTGGATCTCAGACTTCCTAGATTTAGAAGTGTGAGAAATAATTGTCTACTCTTTATAAATTACCCAGTCTCAGGCATTTTGTTATAGCAGTACAAAATGGACAATCTGCAAAAATGCTCAGCTGTCACAGGCTGTGTAACCTTGGATAAGTTACTAAACCACTCTGAGTTATTATCTTTAAAGGGGAATAGTCTTCACTCTCACAGTGTTGTACTGAGTGAGTGACGAATGTGGCTCAAGTGCTTAGCACATAGTAAATGCCCACTAAACCAAGGTGAATGTTTCTCACTTGATGTTTTGACAAGGTAGGCATCACAACACCTTTTTTAATAAAACATTTAAAATATACATGACACAGTATGCTGTAAAGAATAATGAAACAGATGCCCATGTGTCCAAACAGCCCACGTTAAGAGTGGTCCCCCTTGGGACTGGGGTTGAGGCTCAGTGGTAGAGTGTTTGCCTAGCATGTGTGAGGCCCTGGGTTTGATCCTCAGCAGCACATATAAATAAACAAATAAAGTAAAAAAAATCCATTGTCAACTAATAAATAATAAAAAAAAGTTGGTCCCCCTGCCCCTACCTGTCTGCACCTGTGGCCTCGTGGCCTCCTCCATCTATGCAAACTGCTGTTCTCAACTCTGTGCTCATTTCTGCTGGGAGCCATTAGCCAAGTAGGTATGACAATTTCCTTGCCAGCGTACCCCATGTTGCTTAGTGGAAGGACTCGTGGAAATAGGACATTTTGCAGTAACATTGCATGTAAGGTGACCTTGCTCAAGGACCAGGGCGGATCCGGGTTTAGGGCGTTCCCGGTTTAGGACAATCCGGGTTTAGGGTGGTTCCAGGTTTAAGGTTATTCCTGCTGGGAATAGGGCGTATCCTGCTGCCTGAGTTCCCCTTGAGTTCTCACGGGATTCAGACAGTATTTTTTGGGAGACAGAAGCCCAGTGGGGGTGGATTTGGGCAGAGAATGTGGATTTCCCCAGAACATGATTGTAGACGGCTGGTGTGAGTTCGGGAATAAAGAGTTGCTGTTTGAATCTATGTGGTGGCTCGTGATTTTGTGCCCAGCCAGACTGCGGCAACATTTCCCTTGCTGACTCAACATAAAATTCAAATTTAAATTACCTATTTGCCTCTTTTTGAACTGTACACACTGATTCACTTTTCTGCTTCATCGTGCTTGAGATTCATCTGTGCTATTCTCCCAGGCAGCTATTCTCCTCCTCTTCACTGCCATGTCACACACACACACACACACACACAACTTCATCTCTACTGCAGTGGGTGTGTGGGGTGCTAGGATCAAACCTGGGGCCTCCTGCATGTGAGCATCACTCTATCAGTGAGCTACACCCTAGTGCTGATCTGTGATTTTGCTGTTAAATGCTGCTATGAGTCCCCTAGTACCTCTTCTGATGAAGATGTGCAG